AAAAAAAAAAAAAAAAAAAAAAAAAAAAAAAAAAAAAGCTCTCGCTCTCTTTCATTTCTGAAAGTATTTTCCCTTAACAAACCAACCAGCACAGTGAGAAAATGGAACAGACACTGGCTGCTGCAAAACCCTCTGAACAACTCCATGCTTTTCAAAAAGAGACAAACTTGGGACAGTTTCCTGTAAATCCTGAGCTTTTTTCCAGGCTCAGAACTCTTCAGTGGCAGTCTCTAAGGGGATTCTCAAAAGAAAAAACATTGATCTAATTCTGCTGCTGCTTACAGCGATAGAACCAACTCAGACATTCTTCTTGAAGGATATGTGAGCACTTTTGAGAACTGTTTTCTAAGATTAACAGGAAAAGCCAGCCTGAGCTTGGGTGTTTGAAAATGAAGGGCAATTTGTGTGGAAATATCATTAGCAAAATTCAGAAATTAAACTGAAACTTGATGCGGGAACATAGTGGAGAATGAAAGGCTGTCTGATACGATTCTCAAATGTGAATTTCTAGCATGCACAGTTCTATCTGCTGTGATTGAGTCATCTCTAATTGGTACTGAGAGTCCCAAAATGTTCTGAACCACCTTCACTGTTAATATGTAGATACTTCTCCATAGCTGCACTGTGCTTCATTATATGAATCGCCTTCCACAGCAAAACACCTAGGGACACAGGGAAGATGGATGTGTACAGTGAAATTAAACTGCATGCTGTATCACAAGATGTATCTCAAAGGGTGCAGCAAAGGGTGCTGGAATCAGTCTCCTATTTTACTCAGATTTATGGTATTGGCATATCAACATTTAAACAACCCGTTTGCTGACTGAGCAAGTTTTCTTACAACGTTGATACCATTTCAGCGGTATTCTGAAACATCCACATTACTGTGCAGAGGCAGGAAAGAGCCTCTATTCCCCTTTATATGTGGGGAGAATCAGTACTGGGTCAATGCAGGCAAACATGGAAGGAGATGTGGGGAAAGGCTTAGATGTTAAAGCAACTTTATTCTTTACTACACATTCAGATTTGATACCAAACATCTTCCCACTCAAGCTTCGTACCATGGAGTAATTGTAGCAGATCTTCTCTAAATAAATGGAAGAGATGGAAATACTCAGCTATTGCAGTAACAGAAGTCACATGTGCACCTACCTGATCACTGGAATCACTTCTGACTGAAACAAATTTGTGGAAATTTTCATTTGCCGTGCTACAGCATGCGATTTGAACAGTAAAGCCGTTTATCTGCTCAACAAGTGAGGTGGTAGGTCTTCCATCATTAAGGCCTGTACAATCAAACATGCTGATCCAAATGAGTTGGGGATTAATTGTGTGTGTGGCAAAGATTAATACAGGAAAGCGCTGTAACTTATGTGGTACAGGAGGTTAGAGTTGATGCTGATCTGCTTCTTCTGGGGATAAACTCAAGCCTCTCAAGTAGAAAGGCAGAGAATTTTGCTTTGTGTGCAGAAGAACTAACAAATAGTTCTGAGAAATCTAGCAAAATTAAATTTTTTCAGGATGAATTTTCCCCTCCGTTTCAATTTCAGCTAAATATGTAAGCCTGTTACTTTGAAGATGGGCTGCAGGTGACGTGGCTGTGCAGGATGCAGTGCATCCACAATTTTAGTCATGTTCCTATTTGAAAGAAGGGGGCATCTGGTCAGAAAGACGTGTTAAATGTAGTGAATAAATTCTTGGCTAAACTTCTACTTAGAAAGATCATGGTTCAGCATATCTTTCTCAGTGTTGCACTGGCACTGAGTCACCAAGTACTCATACTAAATGAAAAAACTCCCTCAAATCAGAGAGAGTGGGCAGGAGGTGCTGAATGTATGTCTAGAAAGGTAAGGAGTAGGATGTTGTAAGAGGCAAAGGAGATGGTCAGCAGTCTGCAGGTGAATCCTGCTAAAGAGTATGAGTGCAGGGGCCTTTTGGTGTCACTGGAGAGAGTGAATTTTGGACATTTTGCACTACTGCCTAACAAAGCCTAGAGAGCTACCATGACCATGGACCTCAAACAGTGGCTGATGTGTAACTAATCTCTGTATCTCTAGAGAAAAGAAGCTTGAAGTCTTACTGTCCTATGCATAAAGACGTGGCAAACTGTTGGTTTCCAGGAGGAGTCAGTGTGGATGTTTCTGGGGCCAGGAGACCTCATGTTTATATAAGCGTAGTAGGAGGTGATATATAGTAACTACAATAATTCTCCATGTAATGATGTGTATGATGCCACAACCTAAGAAACGTAATGAGTAAGGTATCTTTGATGGGAGATGTCTGTTCTGCTACTTTTCCCAGTTCCTGAAACTGTGAGAGCCCTACTAATTCCATTGCTGTAGACTTGTCCAGGCACTGAGATGCCAATTCAAAGCTGTAATCACAAGTATTGGAACAGAAAGAAAACTGATGAAAGTCTACCTCTGTGTACTGCTGCAAATCTCCTTTACAAAGGAAGGCATAATAAATAAATGGGAGTTAAGAAAAGGGGGCATTGGAATCAAGGACAAAGATGCTTCAAAGTGTTTTCCCAAAACTAAATGAGGACAGTATTTTAATTTTATATGCACAAGATGGTGGGAATTCTGGATGATACATGTTTAGATCCCTTAGTAATGGACAGCATTGCATCTACGGTAGAATTGTAAGTGTAAGAATGTGATCAAACTGATGAGGATGAAGAATATGGAAGGAAGGGAGCAGATGACTGAAAGAATGGCCAAGTGCAGGTTGGTCAGCAAGGGCCAGACTTGTCAAACTGGAAATGAATGTACTGATGGTGGAACAGTATGAGAATACTTCTTTTTAAAAAAGGGAAAAAACTACAGTTAACTGTTTCAGCTAACTAATTTTTAATATACCCATAATATAGCCTTTAATATACACTTTAATAAGACTTCAGGATGTATTTTCTAGGAAAAGGTAATGAAATATATGGAAGATGATGGAAGATGAGATAAAAGGCATTTTACTAAATGTTAAGTCATGCCTGACTAATCATGAAGTAAATAATCAGGAAATAAATAATTTTACACAAGGTAAGTGCAGCCAAATTATTAGTGCACTTTGAGTACTGCTACCTGGAAACTGTTACTTAAGTGACAGATACTGGAGTTTAGTAGATGAACCACAGGAAATGAGTCAGAGGAAAGTGAATCATTTAACTCACAGAGACCATGGAACCATCCCTTCCAAAGAAGGAAGAAAAATCTTTGTATATTGTTTGTGGTGGTTATCTGCCTGGGATTATGTCCTAAGGGCTGGAAGTGGCAAGATGATTTTAGAGGATATATACAGAGCGAGACAAAGTAGAACTTGGCCACTGGACAATGTTCTGCAGGAAAATAAAAGCACCAAAAAGCAATTTATTGCAGGATTCCATAATTAATGCAGTTAATCTGTGGTTTGGCTTCAGCTTCTTGACCATATTTGAGTCTGTTCAATCCTGTTCACGCCTTCTTGTCTCAGACCTAAGGATGGTACTTAGCGTGTCCATATCCAATAGATGCTGCTGACACTATACACAGTTCATAAACAGAACACATTCACAAATCTAGATCAAGACCTGAGTACCTACTTCAGCAATTACATATTTTTCCAAAATTTTAAAAATAAAAAGAAGGATTAAACTGTAGGAGACTTTTCTCTATCTATACAGAGAGAAATGGGGAGGGAGGATGTTCCTTGACCTAATCTGCGGGTTGCCGGCCACAAACTCACTAAGACGAGCCTTTCAAAATCGGTTTCTAATGGTATCTCCCCTTTTTGTTTCTTGAACAGGCGCATGTTCCCTGTTTTGAAGATCAGCGTATCAGGCTTGGACCCCAACGCCATGTATTCTTTCCTGTTAGACTTTGCCCCGACTGATGGCCACCGCTGGAAGTACGTCAATGGAGAATGGGTGCCAGCTGGGAAACCGGAGCCACCAAACCACAGCTGTGTCTACATCCACCCAGATTCTCCCAACTTTGGGGCCCACTGGATGAAAGCTGCCATCTCCTTCAGCAAAGTCAAACTTACCAACAAGCTCAATGGGAGTGGGCAGGTATGGGTATGGCCTGATGTTTCCCCATACACCTCTTGGCTTCGATTGCAAGCACCTACCAATCAAGAAATATCAAGGGTGCATTTATGTAATTATAGAGGCCCTTACAGTCCTCTTCACCCACAGATGCCAATTATTCTCTGGAGGCCACACGTAAACAGGAATAAACAGGCCTTAATTGGCGCTTTCAGATTTTAATGGATTTCTTGATGTTAAGAGAAACAGAGTGCTGTGGTTTACTTAATCATCAGGGGGCTTTTGAGAGTTGGTCTTGTGTGCTGGTTTTTTTTATTTTTTTTTCTTTTACATAGGACTTCAGAGAAGGGGGAAAGAATGGTCACGGGTATTAGGTTTTTGTTGTGTTCCCCCATGTTGTTTGGTGTAAGTGGAATGTTGGCAGGAGTCAGATAGCAGAATAAAAGGCTGCTCCTAAATGAAATAATTACTATGTCTGCTTCTGCATCATGATAATTATCAATATTCTATTGAATCAGCTTTGGCCTTTGGAAAGAAACCACATGTACCAGAAATAAGTGACTTTCTCTTTGAACCCCTTAAAAATGCAAACAGGAAAATTAGTTTTGCTTCATATTTTGTTTTTGATGATGCATCTAAAGATAAAATATTGCACAAGACCTTTTGTTTGCTTGTTTTTGTACAAAACTCCTACGTTGGATGATACTTGTCAGCCCAGAATTTTTTTTTTTTTTCTGTGTAAATTTTGTGTGTTCTCTACCCATTATTTCCATTTGGTTTGTGAGGTACCTTCATAAGCCTAGTGCCTTAATTAGGTAGGAAATTATCTCAATTTTTAGAGACTGAAGAACAGAAAGATGACCTGACTTTTTATAAAGTAACACATAGAGTTGGCACACAGGACTTATGTGTAACATAAAATAGGATCTGAATTTGCAAATTCTAATCCTGCATCCAGGACCTTAGAAAAGTTAAAAGTCTAAATGTATGCACTGTAGAAAGAGAGGGACAGGAACAACAAAAAGACAGTTTGGAAGGTCAAAGAAACCTTGATGGGAAAGACAGGAACAAGATCTTATGTATGGGCAAGAGAAGAAGGAGAAAGTAGAAAGGAAAGATGGAAATCCTAAAGGAGAAACAATCCAAAGAAAAGTGAACTAAATGGCAAACAATTGTTTTAAGTTTTGGCAGCAGTGTTAAGGTAAACCACATCTCCACTGTGTTTCAGCTTCCCCTTTTGTGGTGTTATTAGAAAGTATTAGCAGAAAGTACTGTTAGTCAGCTATTGGCCCCTATTCCATCTATATATATGCACATAGCACTTTCCAAAATACATTTTTTTTCTTAATTTTAAATATGTTTTGTTGCGTTAGAGATACTTAAGTAATGAAACAGGCTTCCTGAGGAAGGTATTCTGTAGAACAACCATTATACACAGCTTTAAATGCTAGAGACATTTGCCAAGGCTTGTTTAGGTATATCTTGCCCAGAAAGATGAGAGGTGACTACCTCAGCTCTATCCTGGCCTTGTTTTCTGTGATGATAATTCTGACTCTTTCAGATAGCAGAAGCAGAATAGAGATTGCTCTTTATCTGACTGAACAACCTCTAGTGCAGTGGAAGCCCAGTGGTGTGAAGGCTGTGGCTGCTAACACATATGCTGCTGTATCAAAATCTTTAAATCCAAGCCCACTCTGTTCAATGCAGTTTGCCAGGAATTAGGAAGGCACCTGCCCTTCTGCTTTCAATAACAATAAACTGGAGGGGTTTAATCTGGTCTATTATAGAGCAAGAATGAAAAAACAGCTGCGGGATGGATACTGGAGTTTCACTGAGGTCTTTCTGTTTTGTTTTCTGCAGATAATGTTGAACTCCCTGCATAAATACGAGCCTCAAGTACATATAGTTCGTGTAGGAGGCCCCCACCGGATGGTGATGAACTGTTCCTTCCCTGAGACTCAGTTCATAGCTGTGACTGCCTATCAAAATGAAGAGGTAGGCAGATGCCACGCTGTACTCTTGGGTATCATTGATGAGATATATGTTAGAAGCCTAGAAGCCTATTAACTACAAGATCAGCGTGTATAAACTGGTCCTTTCCCCATTTCACTACTAGTCCCATGTAGTTTAATGCTCCACCCAGTCTAATACTGTCTTCTTTCTGCAGTTGAAAACTATTCAGTCCAAGGTCTGGCTGCAGTACTAAGCCAGATTTAGCTTAATATTCTGCCACTGCTATTCCAGATTGGTCCATCTATCCTGGCATCCCAATCTTTTACTGTGAAAAACCTACAGTCTGTTCACATATCTTTCTATAGTAATGACCAACAGTTTTAATGATAATCGTAGTTCTTCCCTCTCCTTAAAATGCATACAGTTATGGAAAGACATATCATTCTAAAGGAAAATTTCTTTTCTACTCTAAAATCGGAATTGAGGGATAATTTGGATTGTGACAATTGTTCACTCATCTGCCATATCTCTTGGCTGCAGATTTGATTTGTATTTGTTTCTCTTCTCAGTTCTCTCGAAAGGCTTCACAATCCCACAGGAATTACCAGACTAGACCACACAATTAAGTTGCCCCTTTTGGTGTGCTGCCTGTGGCACTGATCAGTACACAGCGCTAAGCAAAGAGCAAATCTCCCTCCAACCACTCCTGGAAAACAATACGTGGGGATATATTTTGTTTGTCTAACCATGGCAGTTCCACTTAGTTTTCTCTGGAAGATGTTGTTTCAACTCTCTATTCCAAATTGCCTTCACTAACGTGCCTTGTTTTCTGTAAACTCAAGATAACGGCTCTCAAAATCAAGTATAATCCCTTTGCCAAAGCCTTCCTGGATGCAAAAGAAAGGTGAGTTGATCTTTTTCAGCTCCAGTAGTATTTGGTTGCTGATATGGTTTAAAACTGCGATGTCACCATGGAAAAAATAAATTATACATAACTTAATCTTGTTTCTATTGTCTTAAATCTAGAGTCACCCCACTGAAAACTAGTGGGGAGACTATATAATAGTCACCATGAGATGTCCTAATGTGGGTGAGTAGTCTCTTCAAGACAGGACACATGAAATGAGATGGATATGAGTTTTCCCAGTGATGTTGTACACCTCATATGTTCACTACATTGTACTTAGACTCCAGTGAATACCATAATTCAATAGGTCAGGGAAAAGAAATGCTGCATACTTCAAAAAGCATATAGTTAAAGTGAAATTGTGCTTTACTGGTAACATAGACACACTGCTATTTCTGAACCTGTGTGATACTCTGTGATGTGTTTATTAAAAGTAACCTGCAGGTGCTCACTATGGTAGAGATGCTTCTGCCACCAGAAACGGACTGTGGCTTAATTATTTTACAAAGATTCACTTCATCTGTACTAACACACTGAGGCATCCAAATGATCAATTCCCATCCATCATTGCTAATAAATTTTGTCCAGGTCTGCTGCGTCTTCTAAAATGACATCTCCCATATGCCTGCAGGAGAATCACTATTTCTTTCCTTTCCACTCTTGGAGCTGCTGTGTCTCAATTCTCAGTTGCAGAGGGCAAATGCTGCCTTTGTCTCATGGCCCTAAGCAGGAGGCAGAGCCTTGCTTTAGACTGAGTGGGATGCAGGAAATCCCAGGTGCCCCGCAGTTAGACCTAGCTTTTCAGGCTCAGGATGCTGTGTAACATAATTGTTTCCTTTATGACAGAGTGCAGAAAAGTCTTTTTTTGTGTGTGCATGACTAGTTTTGAGTTTTTAAAATTTCTTTACTAATTTTGCAATAAGGAGTTTTACTGCTAGATGTTTTCCCTTTCAGAAACCATCCCAAGGATGCACCAGAAGCAGTCTCTGAAGGTCAACATATGACATACTCTCACTGTAAGGCTTTTGTTCACGTGAGCTGGAGATTTTGTGTAGACAGATGCTGGGAAGCTGGGATCTGCTTAACTGGATCAGAGCAGCAGTTCACTGAGCCTTGAACTGCCTTTGCAGAAAAGGACTGTCTAAACTAAATAACGACTGAAATAACTTCAGTAGGAAATCAGTTTCTGCAGAAGGATCAGTTTTCATATGATCCAATTTTTTATGTAAATGGAATCCAGGAAAAAAAAAAATTATATATGGAATTTTAAGGGCTTTCTCTCCACTTGTTTTGTATTTGTAACTGTATTTTTGTCCCCCATAAAACTTTCATCATTAAGCGGGACAAAAATTTAAATGAGGGAGAAGATGTTGTGTTCATTCCAGTGATGATCAGCTTTTCTTTCATTTATTCTTTGACATTAGTGACGTTTTTTCTTAGTGTGTTTTCAGGTCTTGTTTTTGGTGGTGGGATTTTTTGGTGGGCTTTTTTCGTTTGGTTGGTTGTTTTGTGCTTGTCAGTTGCTCCATGAAGCAGTGTTTTGGCATGGGTTTGATATTTCTGAGGCTCAGCTGGTGTGTAAGAAGCCTGGCTGCTTTATTGAAATGCGATGTTTTAGTGCAATAATATTCTTGTCTTTCCCTTCAAAGTGGGTGGCTGGTTGATTTCCAACCCAGATACAATGTGTGCATCAGGAAGCTCTAATTACCAGTATACTGCACCTTTACCTTTGCCAGCTCCACACGCTCCCCACGGCTGTGAGCGATATTCAGCACTGCGAGGGCATCGGGCTGCTCCATACCCACCTTCCTACATGCAAAGAAATCATTCACCTACAGGTACAACTGCTTTGCTTCCAGGAAACATTCACCCTGACCGACCCTTGCTTTGGTAACCCTAAGCAGTAAAACAATTGAAAGCTGAAACTGGGGAAGAGCAGTGTGAGTGTCTGTGGCAATCTGCGCTGAACACTGAATGCAGAGGGTATGGTTAAGACAACAGAAGAAGTGGAACAGAATTGTTCCGTGCATTGTAACTGCTAATTGTAAATAAGAGTGAATGATCTTGCTCAAAGTCCTTCTCTCATTTATATATAAGTATCAAACCATTACAAGCCCTCTTTTTAGTGATGTGTCACAAAACAGTTGCTCTCTCAAGTCAGGGCAGTCCTTAGGAACGTGGCAGATGTTGATTCGAGGTGAGGGCTTTTTGGTATTGCCAGGAGATCTTTCATGTCCCACCTGCTCTCTAGATCTGGGGGTGGAGATACAGAAACTGGATCTACTTTGATCATATGAAATTGACCAGAAACAGGAGTAAAGATAAAGTAATCTGTTTGCTAGCTATAATTTAGCAAAGCATCCTACTTAACTGAAAACTCAACCTATAAAGAAATGTATACCAAAACATTGCCAGTAATATGGCAGTCATCATTAATCAAAAGATCCTTGGAAAAACGCACGTCATGAGGATTTGTTCTTTTTTTTTTTTTCCCTTCAAAGTGAATTTTTTGGAGAGCTCCAGCAATAATCTTCAGGTATTCTCAGGACATGACAGCTGGACTTTGCCATCCTCTCCACATGCTAATTTGCTCTCCGTGCCACACACCAAGGGAGCTGCCAGCCCGGGGCCCAGGTAAGGTTACAGGAAAGCTGCTGGTATTAGGAGCACTGAGGCTAGTAGGACTGCCATAAGGCTCCATTCATGCCTGATTTCTTAACCAATTCCCACCTCCTCTACATACACAGTCTTCCTTAGGTGAATCACAACCTCAATTTTCCATGTGTAAAGTGGAGATACTGTTTAACTAAAGGACCTATCGGACAGCAAAGTGTGCCCATGCTACATGAGTGTGAAATACTACAGAAACAGCACTTACTAGTAGGTGCGCACACTTGCTAAGTCTCTCCAGTATTTTATCTAATAAACAATATGCCAGATAAACATGTATTCCAGAGGTTTCAAAAAATAAATTGTACAGATGTCAGCTTGCCTCTGTAATTGTAGCCTTTTTTTTTTTTTTTTTTTTTTTTTTTTTTAATTATGGAGCTCTTCATATTCAATTTACAACACATGGAATGTTTAATCATAACTGGGCTCTATAGAATTGATTGAGTTTGTTAATGACTTGAAGAATAAGAAGGGTGTTGGTTTTTTTTGTTGTTGTTTATTACTAAAAGATCTAGTAAAGAAAACCTTAGGAAGAAATACAAGTGAGATTCAGTATAGGAATGAGAATTAGGATGTCTAACCTAGCCATACTACCCTAACTCTAACAACCCTCCACTAAATCATGTCCTGAGCACCACATCCAAATGGTTTTTAAGCACATCCAGGGATGGTGACTCAACCACCTCCCTGGGGAGCCTATTACAGTGCTTAACAACTCCTTCTGTAAAGAAGTTTTTCCTGATATCCAAGCTAAACCTCCCTCAGCACAACTTGAGACCGTTTCCCCTCATCCTGTCACCTGTCACGAGTGAGAAGAGACCAACCCAACTCTTGTTGTAAGCACCTTTCAGGTATTTGAAGAGAGCAATATGGCCAGTGTTTCACCCAGCAGATCATATGCCCATCCAAACCATGGGCAGCCAGCTTTTCCCTATGAGGATGTTGTGGGGGACAGTGTCAAAGGCTTTAAAGGCTTTTCATTCCACCATGGCTCACCATGGTCTCCAGCTTCTTTGCTTTCTCTTATGCTTCAGAGTACAGAAAGTGGCCGATATTCCTGGTGTGATGCGATTGTTTCTCTTTAACTTTTCAATCCTGTTCAACGTATGCTGAAACAACAGTGGTGTTGCCACACTGCAAAGAGAAGAAGCTTCCCATGATCTGCCACTCCATGTTTCATGTCTGCTCACATCAAATAACCCAAATGAAAAAGTCTTTCACAGGCTGATGTGGATGAGTGGGAGAAATCTCTGCACCTGTTCACATTAGGACTGTACCTGCCCTGGTAATTCACACTTTATTTCATGCTTCAATCAGCATCCAGATTTTAAAACACGTCCCAGGTACCCAAGTTAAGATTCCCGGACAGATCCTTTTGACAAGCTGATTACCTTCTGCCCAGATGAAATCAATGGGAGCTTTATTTTTCCCTAGCACTTTTGAAAGCCAGAATCTTGAAACTCAGGTGTCTGCGGTCAGTGAGAGTTTTCAAGCCAAATCATCTTTCTCTCCATGCTGCTCAGTATTCTCTTGCATGAAATGAGGATCTTACTCCACTGCAGGGATATAACAAAGGCTAATTCATGGTGCATTATAGAAGTATTGGTAATAGGGCAGTAATCAGTTCTAGGATTGACTAGAACTTATTAGGCATACAAAACCAATTAAGTATTTTCCCCTTCTTTCCCCAAATAAATGCATGAATTTCCTTATTTTAGATGCCAGGAAAATCAGGTGAAATTATTTAAAATATAAGCATTCATTAAGAAAAAAAAAAAACAAAAAACACACACTTAAATCCTAAAGCATCACATGTATTTGCATGTTTCTCTCCATGCCTATCGTCAGGGTCACCAAGGTATAATGGCTGCTTGTGTTTTTCACATAAGATCTGCAAAGCTGGTCTAGTTCAGCAACTTGATTGGGATACCAGCTTTTGAGCAGATAATGCACTTGACCATAGAAGTAAGTCCTATGCAGGTTTTGAAAAAATCATTCAGTTTGTACTGCTTTTTTTTTTTCCAGCCATTACCCTTGCCTGTGGTCAGTGAGCAACAGTGCTGTAAGTGTCACCAACCCGGGAAGTGAGGTGAACAGCAACACTTCAAGCATGTTTTTAAGGGGTAATGTACCCTTACCAACTGCATCTTCATCCGTCCAAATCCCTCTGCAGGCAACTGCATCTGGCAGCATGGAAACACAAGGGGAAGCCCCTCTAGTCAGACTTGTCGACTCTGCGTGGACGTCCTCACACTCCTTTTAATGGACAGGCAGCTCAAAAGGAAAGCTCAGCCAAATAAGAGAGAAACAAATGGCAAATGGCAAAGGATCCCCAGGAACTGAGCTCAGAACAGGGATGTGTACGCAGATTACTCCCCATCAAGCATCATTTTCCATAATGTATCTCTTGTGTGCCACAGAAACCAAAATGCATAATGCAGAGGAGGGAAATCGTAGGGGGAACTGGCTTATTACTTTAACCTTCCTGAATTATTGAGAATGATATCCAGAAAGAATCTTTATAGTTGGCTTTGCTCCTTCCTCACATCAAAATGATCAGAGATATGGGACTGACCGAAGCAGACATGGCAGCTGGATATTTGCACGTCGTTTTAGAAGGGCCCTTTCTGAAACTGAAAGCCAAGTCCATGAAAATTGTGGACGAATTTGCAACCACTGATTTGAAGTGACAGGGCTGCTTTAAAGGCTTTCTGAATTGGTCACATGAAGGTTTCCTGAAACTAAGCTTTTTAGAGGGGTTGAGATTAGCCTGACACTCTAATTCAGCTTGCATATGGTATTCTCTGTCCCTTTCCTTTCTTCAGCTCTTGTGTGCTCTTTCTGTGTTATAGGGATAAAGGACAATGCTCAAGCTGAGAAAGCAGCTGCATTGTAGCAGCAGGTGAAGGGCATCTGGTTTAGCATTTACAGTCTAATGTTAAATGAAAAGTTCTGATGTTTTCTGCATGTGTTATTTTTGAGAGGATGGAGGGAAAATAATTCTAGAAAAAAAAATCAGCTTACATTTCCACTTTGCTTCAGGCAGAGTACTAATAAAATATGAATCAATGGTGTACTGTGGTTTCAGTGCATTTCCAAGGTGTAAATGTGCAAACCAATCATTTTTACTTACTAACCTCTGAGAGAATTTAAATTAGCTCCACCAGAAGCAGGAGTTTTCTATTGCTCTGCCAATTACTGGCTATATGATCTTAAGCATGGCATTTCATATCTTTGTACCTGTTTTCCCTTTCACTTTCTGTTTGTCTGTCTGTTTGTTTGTTTGTTTGTTGAAGAGCTTCCTTTTTCAGGTTGTTGCTTTTCCTTTCCCGTGAGAGAATACAACATCTATCACAGCAGAAGTCTGATCCTGTCAGCGATATCCAACTACGAATAGTATAAAACAAATAATAACTTACTCCCTCAGATATTCCTTGTTTACTTCCTCAGTCAATCCCCATTCACTGCTTTCATCCACAGAGGACTTGCTATGCACTAAGAAAGGAAGTGAGCAGCAGTAAAACATGTTAATGTGAATTATAAGCTATGCTCCTGCCTTGTACTCCATGCCAACGTACATTTTCCTTTCTGAGTCTCTGTCAACTGCAGAAACCCCATGCAATGTCAGACAGCATGTGTGAAGGTGGTGTTTTTTTTCAAGTTCTTAGGCCTGAATCATACCCTCAAGGCGCTTTCAGTGCTATGCAGTTTCATGACATCCCCATCTGGCTTTTTAGATTTACTGCAGGCAAGGCACTACACCAGAACACACTTAAGATGCTATTAGTTTTAGTAATGTGTGCTGTTCTTAGCTGAAAGCAAAGCCATGAAGTTGGTTTCAGACATGCATTTCTGTTGAAAGAGGCATTGCTCAAACAGGAGCTAACAGCAGAAGGTGAAAAGCGCTGTAGCCTACTATTAATCTAATTGTTGACAGTTCTAACTTAAATCTTCCTTTCCAAATTCTATCAAATTTCTCAGTATTGCCTTTCTCTACCTTGCAGCCAGAAATGTCAGTAGATGTTTCTCTCGCAAATAGCTCTGCTTTACCACCAGATGAAGCTGATTAATTAACGTATACTACCCTCTTCTGGCTGCTTGGATCCCCACAGCAGGTGCTGAGTCTACATTAAAATGTCTATAGATGCTGAAAAAAGGCAAGTGACGACTTTTCTGTGTGCCACAACTTGCTACGCTTCCTTCACGGTTAATGGGTTGGATAATTGCTTAGCTTTCCCTCGAACTGCATTACAGTAACAGATAAATGATCATAAGAAGTTAGTTATGCAAACGGGAATTTTATTTCACAAATAAACAACCTGGGAGAAAATCTAATTAGCTTTCCTGATAGCCCTGCAGGAGGACTGAGAGGGCTGATAAAGGATCAGAATGATCAGGCAGAAGAATCAATTTCCTTATTGCTGTAAAAGCAGCATGATTTGTGTCACAGAAAGTTCTGACGTCTGAGGAGCAAACTAAGTTTTTGTCGTTGCAGAGTCTGGTTTAGCCTGAGGAAAGGCACAGCAAGATAAAACCAGCCCAATGCCTCGAAACATCGTTGCTTTGATAAATGCTTTTAGAACTGGGCTCTGGCAAGGGAAGGTTTGCTTCTAAGAAGCAGTAGTCGCACTGGGGATAGCTTTTACCACCGGTCAACAAGGAAGAAACACCACTGTAAATTTGCAGGTCTCATTTCCGCAGCACAGTGCCTTGCCCTGCGTGCAGCCGCCGGCTGGGGTGCTCACAGCACTCTCCTCCCTGGGGAAGAAGGCCCTTCAAATATAAACCATTCCCCTCATGGCACACCGCCATTTTGGGTCGGACAGACCTCTGCTTCTATCAGAAATAGCCAAGCATTTCTGACTGATACCTTTCACTTTCTGCTCTACCCGATGACTGCAAGTGCAGAAAGAGAAGGAAGAGCTCCCTGTTTTCGCATATTCTGACAGTGAGCACACACCTGCGGCACTGAGGCAGGCCACGCCCCTCCTCCTGCTGGAGTGCCGCCATTTTAGGCAGTCGATATGACAGACGAGTGTGGCTGCAGCTCCTCCAGTAACCTGCATTTTAAGCCTGCGAGGACAGCTGGTTCTTTGTGATGCAGGTGAGCTGGCAGCCTATGTGGCCTCAACCTAAAAAGCCACAAGTGGGGCCCCTCCTGTGCCTCGCCCTCTGCTTGCCAATTCTCCATCCTTCTCTCTCATCCAGTAGGAATCCCTGGGCGTCACCTTATGCTCCTGCCCATACCCCAACAGAAGGGCAATGCAGCTTCCAATTTTCCAGTCCGCTACTGTGGAGTTTTTAGGGAATGTCCCTTTGCTCACTGACAGGTAGAGGACCAGACAGCACGCATATACCAGCAACTGAAGTCTCCAGCTCAAATGCTTCTTGGTGAGGTGCTTCCAGCCCTGGGCTCCCATCCATCAGGGGAGACCAAGCAGCATTAACTTCCTCAGAAGGTGTTTTCATGCCTCACATCCTCACTGTACCCTGTTCCCCCTTCAGTGGGCTGCAAAACCTTCCCTCCACAGGAACCCATGCCACTCCCAGGTCAGCTGGTCTGCCCAACTTTGTCCTTCTGTGACTGAGGTATTTTCAGCTTCTCTTTTGTTTAGAAAGTTTCATAGCCTGTTATTTTTCTCCCCCCCCTTCCCCCTTTTCTCTGCAGTTTTACTGACACAGTATTAGGAACATTCTTGCCTATGTGTTGAGTTACAGGCACCAGGAATTGAGTTATGTAAATGAAGACTGGGGAGGGCAGTCATGAGAGAAGAAGCTGTCATCATAATTCAGCATGTGCTTTTTAAGGCCCTTAAGAGGAGCACAAATGATCAGGGATCATCAAGAGCTCAGGTTCACAAACTTTCAGGCATCTGGGAGATTGTTCAGCCAGGATGTTATGCCTGCTGCAGAGATGCTTTAGGACGACTGCTCATTTTTTCCAGGTGCATAGTGCTGTAATAACAAAACAGGCTTTTTGAGAAGGCTTGGGTGTTTGACTAGGCATGTGGCAAACAAGCAGGGAAAAAGCCCTCTGCTACTGGGCACAGATCAGCCAGATTTGTAGTGAACAGCACAAATGAAAACGACACAAACTGGCTCCCAAAACACTTTCCAGTCAAGGGTGCATCTGTAGACTGCTTTTGCAAATGCAAAGCTCAGAAGTGCCTTCTGCACTCTTCTGGGTCATTGTCTCAGAACCTGAGACAGAGGGGTGCTCTGGGCTGAAATCTCCTGCATGCCTTCCATCTATCCATGCCTTTTCCTGTCAAAAAGAGGTTCGCAAAAGATACGCTGTATGCCACACTCTGCCTCAGTTCTTGCCTTGATTTTTTTTCTTTTTCAAGGTGTTTTTTTAGTCATACTGTGCATGCTTTCCTCCACGAGAACAGTTGTAAATTGCAAGTTAAGTATACCTTGCTTCATTAATGTCTGTTTTCTTCTTTCTTTCTCCTTCCTCTCCCAGTGTGGGCTCTCACAATATTGTAATGGTTCCTGCAATTTGGACTTGATGTTTCAGCATCCTGCATTTCTGAAGCATCCAAAGCTTTGTGTTCAAAACAAACTTGAACTGCTTTTGCAAATATGAATCATTGCTTGAGTCTGAAACACAATGATTTTGCAGAGTTTACCCTGCAAATTACTTCTGCTTTAGGATGTGTGGCAGAAATGCTAGGTCACAGCTTGAAACAATGATTAAACACCTGATAGGAAGGCAGGGCCAACCCAGGGGAACTCAGGTGCAAGCAGTGCACTTGATTGTCTGCATGGGGTGGAGTCAGGATCTACCCCTTTCTAGACCTCATATAAGGGTTGGCAGTGGAGATAAGGGTATCCTGTTGGAGCTCCCTGTGTACCTGGGGTCCTCTAAGGGTAAGTGGATTCTTTCCTTTGTTTTTGTGTCTACAGCTGCTGCATTTGAGTATGTTCTTACTTGTTGTAGCCTAGGACTCTGCAACTATGCTGCTGTTGCTGTGCTTTTCATTTTGTTACAGGATTTGATCTATAACTGGAAGAATTGCAATTTTTCTTTGGATATAGCAGTTCTCTGAGCACCAGGTCAGTTGCCACTGTCCTACTAGTATAAAAAAAAACATTGTCACTTGTCACTTCCTCTGAATCTGAGAAGGTGACTTGGTAGCATCCAGAAGGCTAGGTTTAGCTGCCAGTGTTTCTGTTATCACCTGTTTTTTGGATCTGTTCTGCCAAGAGATGTCAATTCTCTGTGCTGGCTGGAATGTAGCAAATGCAAAAACGGGGAAAGAAAAGTTGATGATAAAGCTGGGCGTACTTTAAAAACTCAGAAGAAAAAAAAAAAAAAAAGATATTTTGTAACATAGCAAAACATTTCCATTAGTTTAAACTTAAGCTCTACTATTTATCAATGTTGAGGGTGGGTTCTGGGCTTTTGGTTCAGCTCACAGCTGTGGTTTTGTCCTGAAGCTAGATCTGAATATTCATCCTTGGGTAAATCATGCAGCACTTTGGGTTCTGTGTTTCAGTTTGTCTGCTGTTAACGTAAGTACTAACAACTGAGTGAATATAACCCTATTTATATTTTAGCCACGTAGTATGTAGCACAAAGTCATGTCCCCTGTACAGGAGAGTTAGTTGAGGATATTTGAAGACATGTTTATCAGTGGAAGTATTTTGAAGGAAGTCAGAAATACAGGTAGATAGGATCCTTATGTAAGTCTCTCTCCTTTAGTAGTTAAGTACATGCATTAAAATTAATCCTGCTAACTAAAACACTCTGGTTTCACCTATGGTGAATAACACCACTGTTTTCTCCTATGGTGTGTCACAGTCTGCTAAGCCTGAAGCAACAATAAATAATCCCTACCACCGAGATGTCAGCACTTACTGAATGATTTGAAAATATCTTACTGGGGATGTTACTGAAGCATGAAGTATGAGTGCTTTTATGCTGAGTTGAAGGGGATGCTCAGTTTTTAAATGAGGAATTGGCAGAGAAATAGTAATATATGCTAGGGTATGAATGATCTGAATGAAATTCCTTGAGTTTTCATAGACGTTCTGTAGAACTTCACATAAATGACTTGCAGGCTCATAGGTCAAGTGCCTGTGTGTTTTGTTTTTTGTCTCGAGGGCCATGATGTTGGCATTAGACATCTCCTGTAAGTGGGCATTTTGTCTTTCTCCTAAATATCTGTAGCAGATCTAAAGAGATCTGAGGCAGAAATTCCTCCTCCTACTGTGTATGTACAGCACCAGCAAAATGAAGTTCTGTCCCAATGGGGTCTTTTGGCATGCTATTATTCATAACAATTACAGAGCTTTGAGTATTAGTACATTTTTCTCCAGTTGTAGTACTATGTTCTCGTGTTCACAGACCTTCAGAGCCAAACTCTGAATAAGACATTACTGATATTCCTAAAACACAAAGCATCTCCAAGATGGAAGTAGTCCTTTTAAGTAATCTGTAGTGCTGGATGATGTCACAGAAAATCTTTAAAAGTGCTTCAGAAATCTGAAGGAGCCAAAATGCACCTTTGCAACGACATAGATGTAAAGATTTCTTTCCAGGTTGCTTTGTGAAAAATCAAGGAGAACTCCCATACAATTCACCTTATGGTTACTTTTGTTGTAAATTTGAAACTTGGGCCATGTTCAGAGCTGCTGAGAGGGCTGGGCTGGGTTTGGGGGCTTTGCAGATTGCACGAAATCAATTGCGCAGGAGCCCCAAATACTAGAAGCACAGTCAGTGACTCATGTCACAGCTGTTCCCATTCTTAGCAAAAGAATGAGGGATTGAATCTTCCAGGTGCTTGCTGGCTGCTTTAATTATATCCTGTGCTTTTATTCCAGCATCTCTGTTGCTTTTCAGAGACACAAAGTCTACAAAATATAAAAAAGTAACTTTCCAATGATGACATATTAACAAAAGCCCTTATTTAAACCAAGATTGTGTGCTGTCACCCTTGGTTTTGTCAGATTTGTATTAATAAGCCTTAATGATCAATCTTATTGAGTTCTCCACCCACATCCCTCAGGCCCAAGGGATGCATTTAAGGTCGGCCTGGATGTTCAGCCTGTGTTTGGATTATATTGAGGAGTGCAGCTGCCCCAGCTCTATTCCTGAATTGTTTGGCTTTCCTGGAGCTGGGTTATCTTATGGCATGGTGCTGACTGGGCTGGTGCTGGGACCTGTTGGCATCACAGCCCTGCACACCCTAGAAAGCAGCGCCAGACCTGCAGCCTCTGAAGTTTATAGCAATCTAATCTCCACAGCCGTTTACCTGCTCCTTTCTGAAGAAGGGGAGATTCTGCAATGCAGCCTTGGTACTGTCCTAAATGGCTTCAAATGTGCGTGGTTTTATCTCAGTTACAGGTATTGCACTTGAATGCTCAGAATGATGACACTAAACACAGTTCTGATGGCAGGGCATTGGTTGAAGTTCATGTTTGTGCTGTACGTCTAGTTAAAACTTTGATGAGAGAGGGGATCATCCTTAGGAAAAAGCTATTTTATTGTCCTCCTCTGCACTCTGGAGAGGTTATTCCTCACAACAGTGGCAGCTATTGAGCATTGCTGGGTGTCTGGGGGACCCAGGAGAAGTGAGGATAAGTCCATCTAATGTTTCACCTCTGCTGAAACATGGCTTGTTTGTCCTGTCTGCTCATGCTGTGAACTCTTCTGAATCAGAGCAGTCTCTCCCTGTGCTTTTGCTGCAGTTCTTAATTGCATTTTGGGGAAAACAGGGCTTTTAGTCACAAATGCAATGATGAATAGCTGTTTTGGCTTAAAATTGCTTATGCTGATAATATGATAAATTAGCTGCGTATGCGTGGAAAGAGGCAAGGGTTCTTATGCCCAGTGTTCATTGTAGCTGCTATTATAAAATGTCATGGCTTTTTGCTTGTCTGCTTTTTAATTTTTTCAGGGAAGGCTGCTCTTCACTCATATTTTTAAATATTTTTGGAGTGGCCCAAACATTGCTTGAATGAGATGTTTGGAATGATGTCTGCATGCCAGTAGTTCAGCTTACTCTGAATTTCAAAATAGAAGGCTTAAAATAAATAAAATTGATTTTTAAGGGTTCTGAACTTCTAAAATTGAGATGTCTACTGTCATTTCCAGCCAGACTTGTAACTTGCTTTCTGTCTTAATTTTGAATTTTCTAGATAATCTTTTTTTAGTAGAGGGTATGGGAAAGGAAAGACACTTAACCTAAACAAGTATTAGGTCTGTTAGAAATACATGATTGTTTCCTTTTTCCTTCCAGCAAAGTTGGTAAGAATAGTTTAAAATTTACTGCGAAATTCACTTAGTAAATCATTTTCTATAATTTTGATGTACACAGATACATACATATATAACGTATGTGTATATTTAAAAGAAAAAAACACTTCTGAAAAAGCTGCTTCTGTTTCTATGTGCCCAGGCATGACATCTATGACTTTAGTTTTTAGATGCTGTATCTCTGAATTTCTTTTGCTCTGTCCTCTTCAGCTCATGCTTGGAAGGAGGAGATTTGTTGATTAAGACATAATCAGTGCAGAACTGTGGCAGTTCAAACAAAATGGGAAGAGAGTGAGAGCAGATGTAACATAAGCATACGGGTGAATGGTGAGACTGAGGTAAGGTCTTGAAGGCAGCTGTTTTGTCTTTTGCTGTTGTGGTGCCAGGCCCCTTCCCTTGGGCCAGGTGACTTCATAATGGCTGATAGCACAGCTCAGTATGCTGGCAGTACAGCTTGGACAAAAGCACGGCACCCTTGGCCTTCCCTTGCACTTACTGTGCTGGCACTCTTCCTGGAGGCTTGGTGCAGTCAGGGCTGCAAGTCCCACATGCTGGTGGTTGTGGCAGAGGTGGTGCTTGCTGCACGAACCAAGCAGACTGCAAGCAGGTCCAGGAGCAAGACTGCAAGACAGTGTTGCATGGTCATAGGGTCAGACTTTTCCTTCTCTTTCCATCATGCTTAAATACACAGGAAACAGCTTGTTCACTAGCACAGAAGTGCAGGAAAGTAGTTATTCTGCTCTTGGGCAGATTCTGACTGCTGGCATTCAGGCACCAGGAAACTGAGTTCTCTCAGGGCAGGTTTTCAGTGACTGTGAAATTCCAGCATGCCAGTGGGATGTGTTTTACCAGCTGAGCGTTTTCCTTTAAAACCCTGCAGTGTCTCCAGGCCAATCAATTTCATCCCTGGGATAAGCAATGTGTGTGCCTGTGGGTAATCAGTGTTTGTAACCCTTCCTGTGACAGCAGCTCACAGTCAGGAAGCTGGCCATATTCTGTATCTGCTGTGTCTGAATGTCCTCGGGTCCTTGCTGTCCCTGCTATAACAGATCCTCTCTGCACAATAAATAACCAGACAAAAAAAAAAAATCAATTTCTGTAACATATGTTGGTCAATTGAGCCAATTTTGCTCTGAAAAGTAGAATCTCCAGAAGGGGCGCGTTGCTTTTGATATATTCTGTCAGCACGCAATAAAATGCTTTGTCCAGATTTATTTAAATTTTTGGCTGGGATTGCCTAGAGCAGGGCTTTTTGACTTTGCTTTTATAGCAGGAAGTCTACTTTCTGGAGCCCTTTAAATGCTTTCAATTTTTCTGTTAAAAGCATTGACAAAAACAAGAAGTGCAGGAGTGGAAGGAACCTCCAGGTGCATGTTCTGCCCACTGACGCTGGAAAGAAAACTTCATGCATTTCATAAATGTATTTTATTGGCATATTAATTGAGGCTTCGTCTCTAATAGCCCAGTGAGAAGGCTAAAGTTTATTTCTTGCCCAAATGCATTTATAGTCAATTTATAACGATGTGTTCTTGGGCTAGCATTTCCCCTTAGCTGAAGTGGTTCATCTCTTCTTCTGTTATTTGCTGTTTCTAGGAGGCTTTTTTGTGCTTTTTTTTTTTTTTTTTCCAGCTGCAGTGCTTATCAGTAATTCATAAATTGCCATCTTAAGACAGCGTTACTCTGCTGCTGAAGGAGGAGATGCTGCTTTGCTGCTTCCTTTGTCGGCCCCAGCAGTGCTGCAGGAGCAGCACGAACTGTGTCAGCTCCCCACTGCTCAGCCGAAGTGAGGCGCTAGGAACATGCGGTGGGTGGGATGGCCCCTCTGGTGGCAAGACGCAGTGTTCCATCTGCAGCAGATAAGAACACTGAATCTGCAGCTCTAGCCTCAGTTCTGCTAGCTAACTAAGCAAAGGTTTGGCTTTGTTTCCACCCCTTTCATGTAGCAGGTTTTCTGTGATGTATGCCTAGAGCTCTTTTCTTTGCTGACTGTGTTGAAATTCATCCATCCTGAACTTTGTGAGCAGAGCTGTATGCAGTATTTCTGAGGCAGTCTTGCCCATGTTTTGTACAATGCCTCAAAACCTGCCTTCTCTCTCTCTCCCGGGAATACATCAACAAATTCCTCCTATTACCACACTTGCATCTGTAGCAGAAGGTGGACTTCTACCTTAGGCAGCACTGATGCATAAGGCATGACCTTTATTTCCCCTTACTTCTATGGAGATCCTCTGATTCAGAGACCTTGTGGTTTTTACAGCATAATCTCAACCAACCTGGTTAGTGCTGTGCAATTTGCTTTGTGTGATGTGAAGTGCTTCCAGAAAGCCTAGAGCTTAGGGAATTCAAATGAGGGGAGAGATGCATTGTTAGTTATGCAGTGTACAATCCAGGCACTGCTGTCAGTGACTTGACAGAATAGGGATTCAATAAAGACAATTTGTCCTTCAGCACCACATCTAGCTGACTCAGGACCTCACCAAGAAAAAAAAAAAATCTGATGTCTAATAACTGTGGAACATGTGATTAATCCCTAATTTCAGTATGAAAATAGGAAAACAGTGGGGAGTTTTAAAAAAAAAAAAAGTAGGAAGTAGAAAACTCCAAACATCCAGAATGTTTATACCTGACTTAATTTCAGCCAAGCTTATGTTTTACCTTGGTGAAAGAAAAAGCTTGGCCACTCGGTCCAGTGATATAAGGAGCTAGGAGATGTGTGAAATAAATTTGACCTGAAGAAGCAAGAAAGGGGGTGTGGTCTACTGCCATAAATAAGTAATTAAAAGCTATTGTCTTGCATTCAACGGCAGTGGCAGCTGCTCAATTAGATGCTAAAAATATCCCAGCCCATCTCTGTGAAGTACGTGTGTGCATGATGAAGAGATAACTGGTGCTTTAGCCTTTGTACAGGATGTAGGAAATGAAGGACTAATGTCTGAGCTGAGTATTGGCTGCTTCCTTGCTGCAGAGGCTCTGCATCCCCAGCCTCTGACTCATGCTGAGGCACTGCATTTTCAGCAGAGTGCAGTCCCTTCCTACTCGTTCTCTGTCAAAATTACTCTCTGACTTTGCAGAAGGCTTGCTTTCAGGGTAGCTTCTTTTTTTCTGATGTTATTTTCTTTTTATTTAATCAGGAAGGGGTGAAGCAGGGCTACAGATCAATGGCTGTATTGAAGCATAATTGCATGGTACTGCCCTCTGTACAATTTGAACAAAATCTAGAGCAGAGGGCTTTGTCTTGGGTTGCTGCCATTAATAGGAAACCGCAGCCAAGATTTGCCTTTCAAAAAGGAGAGAAAACAAAAACAAGGTAGGAGGTGGGGTGTAATGGGGACCTCATTTGAAGCCAATACACAGGCA